TTTACCCTGATGCACCATCACTCTGGAACAGGGTAAATCTGCACTCATCAGACCACATGACCTTCTTCCATTGCTCCAGAGTCCGATCTTTATGCTCCCTATCAAATTGAAGCCTTTTTTTTTCCAGTTATCCTCACCGATTAGTGGTTTTCTTAATGCTACACGGCTGTTCAGTCCCAATTCCTTGAGTTCCCTTCACATTGTGCGTGTGGAAATGTTTCTACTTTCACTATTAAACACAGCCCTGAGTGCTGCTGCTGTTTTTATTCGATTTGATTTCACCAAACGTTTAAGTGATCGCCGATCACGATCAATCAGGATTTGTTTTCAGCCACATTTCCTCCTCAAAGACGCTGGGTCTTCACTATCCTTCCAGTTTTTAATAATGCGTTGGACAGTTCTTTTTTTTTTTTTGGCCAGGCAGTGTATTTATGTATTTTTCCACTTTATTAGACATATTTGGACTCATGCCACTTGTAGGGCGATGCGACGCGAACAGTGGAAAATAACTCCTGCAGCAGTGAGACACACTGGGCGAAAGAGAACAAAAATGTTTTGATCTATAAACTATAATAACATGTAGAGACTGTGTAAAGAACATTAAATATGAAAATAACACGTTCCTGTGAAAAGATAAAACTTTGAATGTTTCTACTGTGAAGTAGAAAGTTTTGCCAAAATCCTAATGGGGACATTTTCTCAGTTTCTTGCTCAGTTCGTCTGCGCTGTACATTACATCGCCACCAACTGCCACAGCACGTTGTCCCTGATAGATCTGCACATTGTTTTTAATTTTTGCATGTATTTTCTACGACTATCAAAGTAGCAAATCAAAAATCAAGACATTGGAGAATAGCAGCCGAGTTGATCCTATTTAATTTGGCAGTGATTCATGTGACGCTGATAAGAAGCAACGGTCAGATGTTGATACGGACCAAGAACGTCTCGTCTTTCATTCCGACTCTAGAAGTTGTTTTTTTAACTTTATTGGAGGAATTTTCTGTCGTCCTCTTCGTTTCCTCGAAGCTCCTGCACCCCGTGTGCACTTTGCTGCATTTCTTTCTGTTTTTTTTATGTTTCCCAGACTGTTGTCGTGGAAACTGAGGTGTCTTTATGTAGGCACTTGGCAACATGAACACAATTGGACACAATGTTGGGATTTTTATTTATTTATTTCTTGAAATTGTTGCCCACACTATGCCAGCCATCACAGAAACTGACAGGTGGGTGGAGTGGGAAGAATCGTAGTAGATTAGACTCGAACTAGGACTGATCCGCTTTCGTTTAGAAGGATGCACCAGAGTGAGTTTCTACCTTAAGTTAAGATGCTTGGTTAAAAAAACTGACGGGTTTTTTTTCTGTCCAGAGAAGGACTTGTTTCCATGTTTGCTCCTTCAGTCACTCCTGACACTTTGACTTGTCACAGCAGGAGAAACGATTTACCCAGGGACTTTGCAAGTTTGCATACTTTGTTTTAATAAACCCAAAGTTAAGTACCGAAGAAAAAGGAAATTATGAAGACTGGTTTAAATTAGCAACAATCAATGGTCACCGACTGCATTCATTGCCACCATCTTCCTAGGTGCTAATCACTTTATTCATGCCATAATAACTCCCAAAACCCGTATAAACAGCCTTATTTTACTTAAATAAACAAATATAGTGTTTTTTGTGAAAACGGGACAAGATAGTGCCGCATTGAGTGCATTTCCAAACACCGATCCGGCTGCGACCATGATAAAAATGCTGTAACCATTCTAGCCGGACCAGTACATAATTGGTCCTTAAGTACTTTACACGTCTACTCGGCCTAACCAGAGCGCTGCTGTCGGCGTCTGTGGTTACTTTCACTTAGTCAAATCAGTAAAACGTATATAATGTGGTGTTTTTCCCCAATAATTCTGGAAATATTTAAGACTTAAAACACGCTTCAGTTCTAGACGTGGGTAACTGAGCTTTTGTTCAGCCCTTACGCTAATATTTAGGATAAATGTCACCCATTAAACCGGTACGACAGGTTTGTACTTTACCAGCTGTTATTTAAGACGGTATGTTCCTAATTTTCATTTAGTATATGTCGATCCTCGGTGTTCTGCAGACTAGAGGGAGTGGCAACTCCTGGAATAACAATATTAGTGTTTTAGACAAATATATTAAAAGTGTTAATGTTCCTGTAACTACGAGGCTGCGGTAGCTAGGCCTGTTATGCTGCCATCCGGTGGTTGAAAAAAGGTACTATACACAAAACAAGTTAAGCATTTCTTCTTAAAATTGGCAATAATTACTAATTATTGTCAAATTTCAAACAATATTATCGTTTATCGCAATAATTTCTGACAATCACCCAGAAAAAATTTGTTATCGTGACCGGCCTAGTGGTAGCTCAGTGGTCAGTGTCTTCTAATCGTGAGGTTGCAGGTTTGAGCCCAGGAAGGGCATCCAGCTTAAAACAACCGTCGCATCTTTCACGAGTTTCCTCGCTGTGGCGACCCTTGAAGAAGGAGCAGCTGAAGGAAACCTACTAATAAAAAATGTTGATGTTCCTGTAACCACACCAATCAATAGGGAAACTTCTTACATGAGCTTAGTTTTTTTTATCTTATATTTCTGTGCTGAAATTAAGTAAGGACACATAGCACCTACCAAAATGGCGGTGCATGCCGCTAAAACATAGACCGTGCTAAGGTTGTCCACTTCGGTCTAATAATTTAGTGCCAACAGCTACCACAAGTTTAAAATGATGACCAATGAAAAATATGACGATGAAGAACCTTGTCAGAAAATAAAGTTAAATTCTGACACAACAGCTCCAAAACCTGCAGGCAAGAGTCGTCCTGGAGCCTTGTGGAGGTCCGCTTTCTGCAGCCACAACACCCTCACATTGACAAACGAGTCCTCTTTGGACGCTGGCCAAACATGGAGCTGCTGTTGGAGACGCCACACGACTAATAAAGCGAGATGGCGGTGAGGCGGTGCACTCGGCTCATAAAAGTCTGCCATCGTGGCCTCACAAGATCAGATGTAGGATTTGTGTATATTGGCCTCCCGTACTTTAGTTTTATGGTTCAGGTGAAATGAGGGCAGCGTATCAAGACGCAGCAGTAATGAGATGATCTTACATCCATTCATTCATCCATTTCCTGCCGCTTATCCACGGTTGGGTCACAAAGATAAACCCAGACAGTTTTCTAACCGGCACCTTCCTGTTCCCCCTGGGTGTTCCCAAGGTGTTCCCTGGTCCTCATAGATCAGTAAATCAAGAACTTTGCCTTTAGTTCTACGCCTCTTTCAATTCAGTTTATTTCTAAAGCGCCAAGTCGCAACAGAAGTCGTCTCAGGGCTCTGAACGGAAACATTCATTTATATAAAAATAATAATTTAACATTATTTATCTGAGGAGCAGCTTTGAGTTTAACTCCATCACTGACTCTCATCTTGAGCAAGCACGAAGGCGACAGTGGAAAGAAAAACTCCCTCACGAGGAAGAAACCTTTAGCAGAACCAGGCTCAGGACAGGAACAGATACACAATGGCAGGTCCAGAATCACATGTTGAGTAGAAATATTGTCAAACTATTCAATTTTAACAAGTAATTTAAGGAAATGAGGTCAGTTTGTCCTCTAGTAGTCTAAGCCTATAGCAGCATAACAAGCCGACCCTAACTATAGGATTTATCAAGAAGGAAAGTCTTCAAACTGGACAAGGTGTCAGCCTCACGGACAGAAACTGGAAGTTGGTTCCACAAGAGAGGAGCCTGAGAACTGAAAGATCTTCCTCCCATTCTGCTGCTGGAAACTCTAGGAACCACGAGTAAACCTGCAGTCTGAGAGCAAAGTGCTCTGTTAAGAAAATATTGAACAATAAGATCTGTAATAGAAGATGGAGCTAGGTTGTTGTTTCACCACAACGGACCGACGCAACGCACTCATTACTGCAGATGAGGCCTCAGTCTGTAGATCCATTTCCTGTTCCGTCCTGCAGGTGAACCCAGAATAACAGCTGACGTAAAGAGGTGAGTTTCCATGGACCGTGTGAACATCTGGTCAGGTTGTTCCAGAGCTTTCAGACGGTGAGGCCTGCTGGAGATGACGCAGGCAAATGTGCTTTTATTGCTGCCCGATAAAACGCGTTAAATCCAAATGTGATTCGTGTCCTCGCTCCGCGGCGTACAATGGGCCCGCCTGTCTGCGCGGTGCCGAGGCGACGGCACCAGAACCTTCCTCCGCATCGCTGATGACTCATGTAGATAACGGAGTTCAGTCTGCAGCGTTGACGTTTTCGTCCGCTGGACGGAGTTGAGTTTCGTTGCGTCTCAACGGGAGTTTTCATGCCGGCGTGCGCCTGCTGCACGATGAGGCAGAGGTTCAGACGGATTCTTCATCACCGAGGGGTTGCTGTCAGCTCCGTCACATCCTCGGCTTCAGTTGCACGTCATGTCCCTGACGATCATGAAATCTGCCACAACTCTGTCAGTTTTACCGATACGGAGCTCAAGTTTGGTGTGGTAGTAGTCGAGACTGATCCCCAACACACATTGTGAGTCCAAACGGATTCAAGATGGCCGCCACAGCCACCTGGACTTGCTTCAATTAGCCTTTTTTTGTTTGTTTACTAATTTTAGACATGTTGCTCCAATTTGTTGATGGCAACAAACATTTTCACGTTTTACTCCAGGTGCGACTCGTTACTTTAACCGATGCACCCTGATTGTCTGTTAGCAAAATATCTCATGAACCAGTGGACTAATTTTAATGAAACGTTCAGGAAACGATCATTACATGGACATCTACAGGTATTTTTTTTTTTATTTGACAGATACTGAGCTCAAATTGAATGTGGTAGTAGCTGAGAGTCATTCCCAACATGCACTTGAACCGTGCACCTCATATCATGGGACTGTGCACGATGGTAACAATAAGAAAAACGTGTCAAAACGTTTACAGAATAAAATGATCTTAGTCTGAAACCCTTTTTTTTTTACGTGTCTTTTCTTTTCCCAGGCCTATGAGCTCTCCACGCTGACGGGAACCCAGGTTCTGCTGCTCGTCGCCAGTGAAACGGGTCACGTCTACACCTTCGCCACCCGGAAACTCCAGCCCATGATCACGAGCGAAACGGGCAAAGCTCTGATCCAAACGTGCCTGAACTCGCCCGACTCCCCGCCGCGCACCGACCCCTCCATGGACCAGCGCATGAGTGCCACGGGCTTCGAGGAGACGGATCTCACCTACCAGGTGTCCGAGTCCGAGAGCATGGGCGACACGAAGGTGAGAACAGGAAGTGGCTCGGAGGGAAAGTACGAATAAGACGTGCAAAGGCTGCAGCTTTGGAACGTTGGAAGTGATGCATCTTTAGCGCGTTCTCTCCAAACGGCAGCTGAAGGCCTGCCGTGGAGGAATGCATGTCACCCGCCGCCCTTCATTAAACCTGAAATCATGTTTGGATGAGAAGTGGGAGTTGTAGTTCTTGTTGTCCTCAAGCTAAATCTTCAGAAATCTACAAAGATCTGTAAGAACTCGATGTGTTGAAGATGACTCTCAGCTAGGCCTGTCGCGATAAACGATAAATCAATTAATCGCATGATTGAAAATTATCCACCTCATTTTCATTTATCGGCTTTATGGTTTCTTCGTGTCTCACTTTCTACTGAAGACACTGGATGACAAAAAGCTCAACTCCAGTGTTCTTCACTGACTCCTCCCTTTCTCTTTAAAATCTGTTTTATTCGTCTAAAATCTCGTTTTTGGATCGTTAAAAGCAGCTAAGCTGAGATGCTAAGCTACGAGCTAAGCTAAGAGCTAAGCTAACGGCCGACCTCGGGGTAAAAACCTCCGACTTGCCGAAGTTAAGAACTTGTTTACTGATTTTTTTTAATTTATTTTTTTTATTAAAAACTTAGTGTGAAAAATGCTATGCTAAAGAGCTCAAACCACACCGAGCGTCCGTCATTTTGAGAACCGAAAAACAGGAAGGAGAGACCGCCCATGTCATGTCAAGGGGCCTCCCTCCCATTTTTCTTAAAGACACGCTGCTCGCTCCCTCACTATCCATCTTTCGGTTCAAACAGTCTTGTACTGCCATCCAGTGGTCAAAAAAAGGTACTACATGCAAAACAAATGAACAAACATTTCTTTTTAAATTTGACAATAATTAGTTATTTCAAACAATATAATCATTTATCGCAATAATTTCTGAGACAGTTAATCACCCAGTAAAATGTATTACCGTGACAGGCCTACTCTCAGCTACTACCACCTCAGATTTGAGCTCATTATGAATTTGACTCGTCTTTGTGTTTTCCAAGCTTGCTTCTTCGTGGCAGCCATCTTGGATGTGGTCGTTGAATTGATTCAAGTCCATCCAGTTCATGAGATATTTTGCTAACATACGCACACTTGTGGCTATCGTAATGCTGCTTTGTGACTCTCTGTCTGCTCTCTAATGCAGAAAAAATGAAAAAAGAGTTTTTAAAACTACCTCAGAGAGAGAGAGAGGCTGTAAATAACCTGGGAGGAATCTCTCCTGAAAAGGGAGGAAGACGAGGAGTAAAAGTAAATCAAACTCACGAGCAGCTGCAAAAATAAAAATAAAAAAATAACTTTATAAACAAACGTTTTGTTGTTTCCCCTGTTTCAAACGGTTTCTGAAGAGCTAGTTGTCGCCACCAAACCGTTTTGAACAAAGCGAAGTCCGTAACCAGACCGCGGCTGAAACGCCTGACGAGATGTTTTTGTGCAGGAAGGGGTCGACACGTTCCCGCTCCGAGCTTCTGAACCCTCCACAAGATGAATCACCGCAGGTCTGGGCTGCGTCAGCTCCAGAAACATGCAGACGCCCGTTTATCTTTGGATTCTGACACAAAGCTGTCTGATGGTCGCAAAGAAGAGTCAGAAACAGAACCTGTGCGTCTCACCTGATTTGAATCATCTGGTGCTTCTGCAGAACATCTAGAGGTGATTTAACCATCGGGTCAGACGAGTTGGAGAAGAGAAGCGAGTCAGACGTGCAGGATAGAGGCGAACTATAAGTTTTTCAGAACTTATCTGTTATAATGTGAGAGGACGACAGCCTGAGCATCGTTAAGGCTCGTTATACCGTATTTTCTGACGGATAAGTCGCATCAGTCCAAATTTGTCTAATAAAGTTGAAAACATAAATAAGTCGCGTCTGTTGGGCCGGTGTTGTGCCAACAATCGACTGGCTGCTAAATGGCGGCCGCAAGAGCGTGCACGAGAGGACTTTAACACGAATTCAACACTTAAAAATAATTGTTTGCTTGATATCATCTTTTTCTTTAATAAATGCACTTTGATGGTCACATCAGCTGCATTTCACCGGGGCGGCGCAGTGACATGAAGCTGATTTGACGTTTGGTCCCGGCGTAATCCCCGAGTCTTTTTTTTTTTCTAACTCCGAGTCACTAATCTGTGTAAATCGGTGCCTCTTCTATATTGATCAGTAATTAAGCTCAACAAGGGATAACTTGACAGAAACGCGACTCCGTCGTCTCTGATTGGAGTTGACGTGTGAATGTCGCCGAGACGTTTGGTGGTTTTCTCTGCGCGGCTGACGTTCCTCGGCGTGTGCAGCTGCGCGCCGCAGGTGACCGCCAGGTGTGGACAGAGGTGTCGGAGCCGGAGTCAAACGGACCCTCCAAAACTCGTTCTGCAGAGCTTCCACCTCTTCACTGCCTGCACCCTTCAGATCCGACTGGGACTCCCGTGTTTATGCAGCTTAGGCACGCTCCTTTGAAGACGGGACACCGTTGGCTCACATGCCTTTTGTTTTTAACGGGGGCACTAACTAACCGTACGGTACTCTGTCAGGTATGGCAGATCAACCTTTGCGTGTTAATCCACCCTGACGCGACGCTCTGCTCATTGATAAAAATGAGATTCTGCCTCCGTTGCCATATATGGTATGGTTTCCCTGCCTGTACTCTTGGCTGAGGCCCCTCACATTCCTTATAAGCTGCAGCTGTCTTTGGAGTCCTGTGATTTCACCCCCACCCCTCTCAACCCCACCCCCAGCCTCTCATTTAGCGATATGGAAGGCGAGGTATGGATGTAGATACGAGCAAGTGGACTGGAAACTTTTCACCACCGCTCTTCGTCCTGTTTCACGTGATGCTGCTGCCTCTACACCCCCCCCCCCCCTCCAAGAAACCACATGATCAGAACCGCCGTGGTTTGGACCCGGCAGGTGGTTGTGTGCAGTGGGTCCATCGCACCGGTCCCTGTGTGAGCGCCTGGACACTGTCCACCATGAGAGCAGCACGCCAGTCTAAACATTTACAGGGGTGGGGGGGTGGGGGGGGGCTCTTGGAGAAGAAAAAAACCCGGCAGAGATAAATTAAGTGGGTGTGTTTTTGTGCAAAACGTTTTAAGATGATACAAATGGTGCTAAACGTTCCGTCTGCAGGGTTAAAATCAGCTGATCAGATGTGATGATGTCGTTTATTCTGAACGTTCACGAAGCGTTCGCTCCGATCGGGTTTTCTTCTGTACGTTTCTCTGCTTCTTTCTCGTCCCGCAGTTTTTGTGCTATTTCAACAAATCCTGAATCAGAAACGTTCAGCTCTTTCAGGACAATCCTGCTATGACTTTTGGTTTTTGGTGCAACTTTAGCTTTTTGAAATCTTTAGCCTTTTCTGCCATTTTTCTCATAGAAAATGAATCGAGCTCATTTTACCTCCTTCAAGTCTTTAGATGTGTTTACAACTTTTTGCTGCTCCTTTCATGTTTTGTTTTGCTTCAGCTTCTTTCATATTTAAACTTTTTTTAGCTTCCGGTACGTCCAACTAATTTCAGCTGGTTTTTTTCAGCTGTTTTGTGCTCCTTTCAGCTAACTATAACATTTTTGTGCTCCTTCTAACTTCTTCCTGCTAATTTCAGCTTGTTACGGTCCTTTCAGCTTATTTCTGCAAGTTTCAGCTTCATCTGCTATTTCAGCTACTATTTATCTGTTTTTAATGCTAACGTTAGCCTTTTCAGCTAATTCCACATGTTTTTACTAATTTAAATTTTCTCAGCCTGATTCAGCAAAAATGTGGTCTCTCCACTTCTGGTCATTTAAGCTTCTTTCTGCTTTTTTAGCTACTTTTCAGCTGTTTTTGCTTATTTCAGCTTTTTTTACAGATATTTTCCTCTTTTTTGTGCTAATTTCTGCTTCTTTGAGTAAAATTAGGCAAACGCGTGTTTTTTGCTTTCTTCTGCTACTTTAAGCTTGTTCTAGCTTCATCTACCTTTTTAGAATTTTTAGCTAGTTTCAGCTGTTTTCAGATAAATTCAAGCTTTTTGTGGTAATTTCTGCTACTTTCAGCCAAATTAACTTATTTATGCTAATTTCAGCTTATGTTCCTTTCAGCTTTTTTCTGCTAGTTTCATTTTTTTCTGCCTTTTCAGCTACTATTTAGCTCTTTTGATGCTGTGTTTAGCTTTTCCAGGTACCTGTAATTTCACTTTTTTTTCTCTAATTTCAGCTCTTTCTGCTTCCGTCTGGTAGTTTAAGCTTCTTTCTGCCATTTCAACTACTTTTCAGCATTTTTTGTTGCTAATTTTAGCTTTTTTTTAAGCTAATTTCTTAATTTTTGCGCTCATTTTGCTTATTTAAATCTAATTCAGCAAATATGTGTTGTTTCTTACGCCTGCTAAATGAGGCTTGTTTTCCATTTCAGCTGTTTTCAACAAGTTCTGCTTTAATAAACATTCACACTGCATTTTTGCAGGAAATGCAATTTCTCTAGTTGGGTTTAACGATGTCCTGACCCGTCCAGGGCGTCCCCCGCCTCTCGCGCAGTGATGGCTGGACATGGGCACCAGTGACCGCCACGACCCAAAAAGGAAGAAGTGGGTAAAGATGATGGACAGATTATTTACATATACTCTGTAAACTTCATCAAAGCATACGAAGGGTTCCCTGAACTGTATCGCTGCAGTTTGCTCCAGTAAAGTTGTGTAACTCTGAAATGCGGGTACGCACTCAACGTAAACGAAGCGCTCGGCTGAACCAAAGCAAGTGGAAGCTCTTGTCATGTGACTGACCTCCATTAAGCTGAACAGTCTGTGTGGGTGAATAAACGCACCTGTAAGTTTAACCTGTTGTCTGTCGCTTCGGCTGTTTCCGTAGGTAAACAAACATACGGGGTAGTTGACAGCCGTTCACAGATTTTGCTGACTAACTTTTAATTTATATTAACCGCTGACGTGACGTGACGTGCAGCTCGGCGGGGAACTCGATGCGGTGACCTTTGGTTGCATTAAATTGT